CACTTTGTCCATGATAGGTTCTGCAGCGGGGAGGCTTTCCCTGTTGTGTAATCTGTTATAAGCTGCTCTGAATGGAGAAAAAGATGTCAGACTTAAAGCTGACCGCTTTTTCCTCCATAATACAAGGTGAGGCTCTGCCTCCCCTGACCACACGTTCCTGCTGTAGTGGGGCATTGGCATTGATAAGTAGGGTTCTAAAAGGTTTCCTTTCAGAGGGTTTTTTGTTTTGTCATTCATGTGAAGTATCTTTTGGGCTTTTAGATTTGTAGCTACCAAACTAACTTTTAACTTTTCCATGTATGTCTATAGCTTTTGTGTATGCACTACTGAATATAAATGATTTCCGGTATGTCTACCTGCTCTGTGACTCTATAGAACTGTTTTCACCTCTAACTTATTTAGAGAAATACATTTTTGTTGTTGTTGTCTTCGGCTATCTAACGCACAGTTTTGTATTGAAGATGTGGCCCTCGTTGTTTGAATACTGTATATGGACAATCCTGGGCTTAAGTAATGTGAAGCCATTTATCTCTTGCTGCTAAATACATGAGAAATACACATTTGTTATTTGTTTATTGATAAGTTACTTGTTACTATGTGACCTGGTCTTGATATAAGGTGAGAAAACATATTACCTGATCATATTGTGGCTTCCACGGTTCGTATAACTGTTTACCTGGAGATGAAGAATTGGTATTACTTGAGGTTGTTCTTCAGTGAGGCTGTCCAGGAAATAAACACCTTGCACTTATTGCAGAGGGGTGGGACTTCATTAGTGATTCACAACCTTCAGCTCATTCATTTCCAAAGAAAGAATAGCTGGCTCTGTAGCCTACGTAGTGTGGCAGGCAAACATTTCAATCTCAGGATCAGCTCCTTGGTGTATGGTGGGGAGAAAAATAAGTTGGGCTCCAGTCACTTTAGCCCTCTTAAGTTTAATCGCTGAACTTAATTCTAGGAGAGAGGACTTATGGGTGCAGGTTACCCTGAAACACCTAAAAAATAGGACAGGCATTCTGAAATAGCAGTAGACTTAATAAGGCCCTTTAAAAACAGCCACCTAGGTATTTTACCAGCCCTGTAAGAGCCGCCAGAATGATCCTGACCATGATGATGATGACCATGTTTCTTGAGTTGCAGTGGAGCTCTCTCTCTCTCTCTCTCTCTAATCAGGTTGTCCCGTGAACCTCTGCTAGCAGTCAACGTTACCATTACTGTGGGCAATGACTCCTTGGATTCATTGGACAGTGTCCACATGGGAGCTTCTTCCCAGCTCCTCTGCAACACTCTTCAGCAAGAAGATACTTTTCCAGCCCAACTACCTCCCAGATATCTAGTCTAGCAGTTGGCTTAGGCCCTTGGCTCCCTGACACATGCCCCAGGCTAATGCAAGGCTCAAGCAGAACTCCTTCTAAGTAGACATCCTCCCCAAGCTAAACCCAGGAGGAGAGAGAACCGTCTGTATAGGTGACTCAAATATTTATCTTCCCAAACCATACCTCTCAATCGTTCCCTTAGGGATTGGTTGAGTCAGATAAAAATTCATAACTTTGTTTGCCCTGCCAACTCTGCTTACAGAAACCTTCTTCATGGCTAGAGGTAGGCATAATCAACCCAATAGTATTAGAGAAGACCTGCTGAGCCAAGATAAAGGTAAATAAGAATTCAGGCTTCTTACAGCCTAGCAGCCACACACTGAATTTAGTTACGGAAGCAATAGTATAGGGGAGGGACCTACAGCTTAATGAAGTCTGAGCCTACCTTAAAGGAAGAAAACAGTGATGGAAATATGGGGTATCCTATGTTTGAAAATGGTCCCTGGCTTCAGTAGTGTTTGAGTCACTGACCCAGAACAAGCAGGGAGATGAAGGAATTTCAAAGCAAAGATATCCTTATCTGCATTGAGATGGTTTGGGTATTATGGAAGGTGCTTCTATAGATACTTAAGTAGCTAGATATGGTAGCACCTACTGGAGCAGTCTGTCTCGGAATTGGCTGGTTTCATATAAGGGCTCAGGCTTCTCAAAGCCCTTTTCTTTCCCATGAATGTTAATGAGCTGAGTGCAGTAAATCACCAAATTGTCCTTTTCCTGAGTAACGGAGTTTCTCTCTTTCCTGGCCACTTGCTATAAAGTGACTCTGTCTTCAAAAAAAAGAGCTGCCAGCAGTTATAAAGTGTAGGCACCCAGATGGTTCTTAGACGCACCTCCAAGATCCCTCCAGCCGCAGGTGTCATCCAAACTCTGGGCATAGGGACTTCTCACTCATTGCAAATTCAAAAGCTGAGCCTGCAAACTGCTTAAACTTGTTTGGGATTAATCATATGAACCAGAACCATATAATTATGCCCAACAAGTGAGTAAAACGTGTCAGTGGAGAGGAAGAGGTGTAAGTGCCTCTGACACTTGTTTGAACAAAAGAAGGAAGCAGTGTGCATGTCATGAACTGGTTGGCTCCTTGTGCTGCTTCTTCCTCTCATATTCCAGCCCTGCTGTACAGGAACTGAGAGAGGCTGCTACCAGGTCATATTCAGATACTCACACTGCTTGCATTTTGAAAAAGACATTTTTAGATGTATAATGATTGAACTCTAGGCAGATATAAATAAGAAGAATTAGATGTAATACCTGCTGGCATTTCTTTCTTTGACAGAGTCTCTTTAAGCTAGTATTTTCCACCCATTGTTTTGTGAATCTCTTACAAGTTTTCTGCAGCCCTTGAAGGTCTCATTAAGGATACCGCATTAGCTACTGAAATAGCAAAGTCCCAAAGATATCATTTCATATCTTGTGAAGAAACTATAGATTCTTGTTTCTTTCTCTACTAGTTTAAGTTATATAAACAGGAGGCTTAACAAAGGGGGAGGAGCCCCCGAAACGTGTTGCCTTATCAACCTGTTATCCGGAACCGAGGCTTGCATTGAGCCTTGAGGGCGCCACTGTATTCCATCATCCAGAGGGTCAGTCGCCCTTACAGACAGATATAATTCTGAGACTCCTCCCTACACACAGCCCTGCCACTGGCCATGGAGGACGGTCAGATTCCACCAGGGCTTCTACTAGGGCTTTCACTTCTACAAAATTGTGAGTACAGTATTGTTCTTTTATTGATCATTATTGGTTTTAATTAGCAATACACCGATACTAGTATTTGTGCCGATGCTAGTATTGGTGCCGATACCAAGTATTTGGGCACGTACTCGTACTCACCCAAATGCTCCGATACCTTCCCTGATACTGGAACTTCACTGGATTTCCTCTGACCGGCAGTGCCGTATTGGAACATGAGGCTAGCTTCTCCTGCGACCAGGAAGCTGGGCGGCAAGTAATGACCCACCTCCCGGCTTCCTGATTGGCCGGAAAGCTGATTCCATGCTGATTGCCCAGAAAGCCGGCTTCCCAGCCAATCGGCATCGAGCCGGCTTCCCGGCCAATTGGCATTAAGCCGGACGAACAGCCGGCTCCTTGCTGATAGGCTGGGAAGCCAGCTTTTCAGCCAGAAAAGCATGGAGCCCACTTCCCGACCAATCGGGAGGTGGGTCATCAATCGCCACCCAGCTTTCTGATTGGCTGGGAAGCCGGCTCGATGCTGATTGGCTGGGAAGCTGGTTTCCAAGCCAATCACAATCAAGCCGGCCAAACAACATGGAGCCGGCTTCCAGGGCAATCAGTCGGTCGGCATGTCATTACCCACTGCCCGACTTCTGATTGCCCAGGAAACTGGCTCCATGCCAGCGGAAGCACCGGTACTGTGTATCGGCGAGTACCGAAAGCAAAATATCAGTACTCGTAGTTGGTACCGAAAAACCGTTATTGGTGCATTCCTACTTTTAATGCACAAAGGTCGTTGCATCCTCTTTAGTAAACAAATCTACACCATGTACAGTGGCAGGGCTTGTATTCCTCACACGTGGTGTCCAGTTGTATGATGTCCTGACACTCCCCACCGATTTATCTACTGAAAGCCACATAGCGAACTTCAAAGATACGCAAAAATAAAACTTCCACCACTCAGCAACACTGTCAATCTTTATTGCTTTATGTCGGAGGGTAAATGTATTGTAACTGTATACTTGGAAGAACCGTTTACATACCGAAAGTGAAGATTCGTACTTTATCTCGCCGTTTTAGGAACAATGACGTCTCATATTAGGAAATCCGTGTCTCATCTTATTTTGTGAAAGCTTCTCTAGCTGGATGTACAAAGTTCTGCCATTAATCGCACCTTTCCTCTTCTCTCTATTTTTCTATATAATGATTCGGGTGTCATGGTGTACATGTCAGCACGTGAATATGTGAAAAGCAAAATGATTCGTATGTACTAAAGGTCCACAACAGAAAATAAACATGACTCCCGAGATGCATGCTGTGTTTTGTTTCTTGTTTGTCCGAAGTGAACCTATACTGAAAAATACAGCAGGGGAGATGCAAGGAGATGTATATACCGTGTTTCCCCGAAAATAAGACAGTGTCTTATTTTTTTTTTTGCACGAAATAAGACACTAGGTCTTATTTTCGGGGGATGTCTTACCTGGCTGCAGCTGTGCTCTGCCGTCCAGGGAGCCACAAACAGGTGGGCGGGCATGCGTGCGGCCGGGGGGCGTGTCTGGCAGGGGGGCGGGAGGGAGCTGCCTCTCCGCTCGGAACTACCCCCCCCCCCCCCCCCCCCCCCCCCCCCCCCACGTGATCCAAAAAGATGCCACCTGAGGCAACAGCCTCATTATATGTACAGCCCTGAATATTGCTAACACAAGGGAACTGTGTTTAGTGGAAATTGGATAGTGTTTAGTGGAAATGTTGTGTGGTCATGTGTGCTGGGAAGTGTGGCCGCACCATGGCACCCAGGAGCTGCCATAGTAGAGGTGTTGAGTGGCGCACACATGAATGAGATGTGTCATTGTGTGCTGCAGCCTGGATTCAGCCCGACAGTTTCATTCATGAAGCCGTGTATGTATTGCCTCATGGCAGTAAGTCTGGAGAATGAAAGCTTGCATCGTATTGATTGCTGTACAACGGTCACTCTACTGTTGCGCCTCGATGTGGTTTCCATGGTTGTCCAGTCACCACTGTGCTCCAGTCACTGTAGTGTGCTGCGCAAGCTAAATCCCTGGCCGCCACTTGTGCATGTACAGTGGACCCCGGGCGGATCCCTGTGATGGGGAAAAATGTCTGCTCATACGGCCCAACCTATGGGGGTGCAGGGAAACGCAAGAGAATAGTCAAAACATTTAGAAGAATCCAAAGTAATGTCATTAAAACTCCTGATAGCAAATGTTGGAAAACCAAAACAAAGCAGCAGAATTTCCATCATTCAAAACAATTTTGAAATGAATTTATGTTAGAGGTCGGGCACATCTGTAATATTACAGTGCAGATTATTTTAGAAAAGGTTTTTTTCTGTAAATCAAAGTGGTTGTGGTCTTCCCTCCCCAAGAATTTATCAGTTGTGTTCGGTAAGTCGGGTGAATAAGACACATCTGCTACACTGTGCATTGACAAACTTATTGCCTGGTAAAGTACATGTAAACCCTAACCCAATGGCAGCAACCCAAGTGGCTATACCAATGTGTGACACGGTGGCAATGTACATACTCCTCACGATCTGCCCTCTGCTTTTCTCTCCTGCACATACTGCCCTCTGGTATACCCTCTGCTCTCCTTTCCTCAACACAATGCTTGCCATCATGCCCTGCACACTCTTCTCCTGCACCTATTGCTCACTGTCATATCTTCTGGTATTCCTTTTCCCACATAATGCCCCTTGTCATACCCTTTGCACACCTTTTCCTTATATACTGACTTCCATCCTACCCTCCATGCTCTTCTCCTACACAGGTACTCCTCTTCCCACATACTGCTCAGTTATACCTTCTGATACTCCTCTTCCCACATACTGCCCACTGTCATACCCTTTGCACTTCTTTTCCATATGCAGTATATTGACTGCCAGCCTACACTCCGCACTCTTCCGCACATACTGCTCAGTTATACCTTCTGGTACTCCTCTTCCCATGTACTGCCCGCTGTCATACCCTTTGCACTCCTCTCCTGCACATATTGTTCAGTCATATCTTCTGGTACTCCTCTTCCCACCCTAATGCCCACTGTCATGCCCTTTGCACTCCTTTTCCATATATACTGCCTGCCATCATACCCTCCACACTCTTCTCCCACATACTGCCCAGTGTCATACCCTTTGCACTCCTCTCCCATATATACTGCCTGCCATCATACCCTCCGCACTCTTCTCCTGCACATATTGTTCAGTCATATCTTCTTGTACTCCTCTTCCCAATTAATGCCCACTGTTGTACCCTTTGCACTCCTTTTCCATATAAATTGACTGCCATCTTACCCTCCGCACTCTTCTGCAAAATATTTCTCAGTCAAACCTTCTGCTACGCCTCTTCCCATGTACTGCCCGCTGTCATACCCTTTGCACTCCTCTTCCATATATACTGCCCGCTGTCATACCCTTTGCACTCCTCTTCCGTATATACTACTTGCCACCTTACCGTCCACACTCTTCTGCACATATTGCTCAGTCATACCTTCTGGTAGTCCTCTTCCCATGTACTGCCCGCTGTCATACCCTTTGCACTCCTCTTCCATATAAACTGCCCATAATCCACATGTTCTTTTAACTGAAGATGATCTAATATAATTCAGTGGATGGAATCAAAGTGAAAATTATCTTCCAGTTTCTCACCACTTTATAGTGTTTAACACCCGTCCTTCTATAGCGGATCAAATACGTCAGCGGGAAATAGTCTGGATATGGCCAAGATGAAGGCGGGCTCCAACGCAGTAACAGTTTCCTGCTATTCCCAGGTGCAGGGGATAGGCTTACATTCACAGGCGGATTTGGCCTTACTGTTAGAAAATAAAAACATTTAAAGTAAATAAAAGAAAATACATTCACAATCTTCATCATGACCCATATCCCGCGTTAGAGTAAAATTGTTATGAGGGAAATATGGAGCTACCATTGCTGGTGCTGATCCTCTCCTGAAAATGTCAATTGCCTTGCTAGGACTTTAATATCTCATACTTCTGGTTCAGTGATGGGTGGAAGCCTGATAATCGGCAGGGCAGCCAAGCAATCTGCAATTTCAGCAGAAGAGCTAAGCAATGACACATCACAACATCTATAGACAACGATGATTTACTACACACAAGCCCACTTTGACGCTCTTCTCAGAACTTACTGATGTTCTCCACGAAAAAGTGGTGCAGCAGCGTTAATGACCCCAGCGGATTGACAGCGGTCACATTTAGAAGGTACGGAACTTCTGCAAACATCTTGAAATCGGTAATCTGGCAGCTGTGTGGATTAACGTCAAGCTGAACGCACTCACTGGGAGGGTCTGGTCCTGTCAATCCCAACCTGCAGAATGATGTAATTCACAGTCAAAATAGTTACTGGTTGGTCTGTGATCCAAAATGATGCAAATTCAAATTCTCTATAGCAATATCTCATACTTCTGGTTCAGTGATGGGTGGAAGCCTGATAATCGGCAGGGGTAGTCAACCTTGGCACTCCAGCTGTGGTGGAAATACGAATCCCATCATGCCTCTGACACTGGGAGTCAAAGCCTGTGGCTGTCAGAGTCTTGCAATGCCTCATGGGACTTGTAGTTACACAACAGATGGAGGACCAAGGTTGCCTACTCCTCAATAGTGTGAAGCATAGGGATATTGAAACTCGATGTTCTATGACACAAGAAAGCGTTACTAATTAAATATATTTTATGCATGCTATTCACTTTTAAGGGCTAGTTTACACCACAAACAATGCGCTCCGGCCCGTTTTGGTGCCGAAACGCACTGGATCGCATTCCGGCCTGCTCCCTGCGTTCAGGGGCGGGAGGGAGGGCGTGGCGGTGCATTGAAGTAGAAGGATGCAAGACAAGTGCTGCATGCACTATTTTTTTCTGACCGCACCGGACAAGCCAGCCGGGATGCGATCCAGTGCTTTCCGGCACAAAATCGGGCCAGTGCGCACTGTTTGTGGTGTGAACTAGCCCTAAAAGCCTCCCTTTGTAGACATCCCAAAGCCCTTGGACCGCTGCTGGGTGTCACCATCTTGGATGTGATGTTAGCAGCCCCAGCAGACTAAGAGCTGTAAGAGCCACTCTATAGCAGGGGTAGCCAAACCTTGGCCCACCAGCTCTTGTGGAACTACAAGTCCCATGAGGCATTGCAAGACTCTGACAGCCACAGGTAATATTCCCAGAGGCAGCATCATGATGAGATTTGTACTCTCACAGCTGGATTGCCAGTTTTGGCTAGCCCCGCTCTATAGTATTCACCTTCGCTCTTCCCCCGGCTGCTACATAAAAAGGTTATGTAGGGGAGGTGAGGGGAGGGGAAGAGGAGCTGGGCTTGCACAAACAAACATTTTACATTCCCAGAAGAAGAGAGGCCCATGACATGCCCAGGTATAGGGTTGCCACCTGTCCAGGATTCACCCGGACAGTTCGGGTTTTGAATGCTCTGTCCGGGTTTCATGGCAGCAGAAACCCGGACACAAGATGTCAGGCAGACAGGGGCAACCAAAATTAAGATAGGGGCTACTAGAGTGTTCGGGTTTCGCTTGAAGAAAAGGTGGCAACCCTAGCCAGGTAGGATGTGGAATTGTGGCTGAACTAGGGAACTGACTCCTGAAGAAATGTGCTAGCAAGTTCAAAGGTTCATTGCATGTGAATGAAAAGTGTTTATGGACAAGAAAAACACTGCATGTAAGCATTTCAAATACTTGTTTTTTCTGTGCATTTAGCTGCAATGTTTTAAGTTGGTGACAGGTTCTCTTAAATGGTAGGATCACACAATGCTAACAGGGATGTATGTGGCCCACATACTATCAGTCCTCCTGGAAGAAGAGTATGAGCCTGTATGCTCCTGAATATCCACAACTCGTGCCAATTGGGGTCAGATCCCAAACTGCACAGGTCAAGTCCCTGATCCCTGCTGGGCAGTCAAACCCTCCTCCCAAAACACACAGGGACATGAACATCATTTACCTATAGGTGGTAATGAAGGTCGTGGGTAGGTGAGTTTCAGGCCAGACGTCCCAGGTACAGTTAATCTTTTCTGGGTACCCTGAAGCCCAGCAATGGACATCCAGCTTCTGCGGAGGAACTGAACACAAATCCGTTAATGACTGTGATGTGAATAAGAACTGTCTGCATTTTCTTTTTTCTTTTCCGATAATGAAAGCAAAGATCTAATGCTAGGAGTTCGTCGGGCAGCGCTTAATAGGTCATCGAAATTGTCAAAAATGTTGACTAATGGGACATTTAAAGTTCACCTGTTATGAGAGAATTTCTGGAAGCTGCCATTGCTTTGCTCATGAAAATACTACTGGCCTGGCTGTCATGCTGATGGCCTTTAACATTTTGGAATTGACTTATAAAGAGTTTGCCCAATCATGTATAGCTGGGCGAACACCATGTGCACGGCCAGGGGCGTCCCGAGGCCGGGTGTCACCCGGTCTCTAGACCGGGTGACACCCCGCTGTGTCGTCATCGCACATGCACGTGACATCACCTCGTGCGTGCGCAATGACGTCTTCTCGCATGCGCGACCATCTGATAGACGCCTGCCGGCGGCCATCTTAGTGATGGACGCCGGCAAAGCGAGGAGGGGACGTTCACCCGTCGGGATGAGGTATGCCGCCGGGTCACCTCCTCTCTCTTGATAATACGAAATCACCTGCACTCCATACAACGTACAGACCTTGGATGAGAGGTTGGTGCTTGAAGTGACTACATGGATGGCTCCGTCCATGACCAAGTGCCTGACTTTTTAGAGGGGGTCACACTAAAATGACTGTCATTCATTTTGGTGTCACCCCTCCAATGGTGTCACCCGGGTCACCCTGCCATGCCAAATGACTGCCAAGATGGAGCCAAGGAGCATAGGAAATTCCTTTCCTCCTCGGTTCCATCTAGCAGCTATAATGCGGTGTGAACGGCCCTTGCCCACTGGGTGAACCCTTTATAAATCAGCCCTTTTGAGTCATTGAAAATCATTATAGAGATGAGGAATTCCAACATCTTTCTGCCACTCATTTACAGAATGCTTGCTCTGGATCTGTGGCTTTGAACATTTTGGAACCAGAGACAGCCAGGCAATTAGAATTCTCCTCAAGAGGCCATATATGGAGTAGATGGGCCATTTAAAGGACACCTATCATGTGAGAAATATAAGGGCTGCCATTGCTGACCTCAAGTGTTCAGTGGTCACATGACAGTTATAGCACATTCTCCTGGCCTGCAGAGGGTTGTTGCCACAGTCAAGTATCATACTCCTTTGCACCATTTCCTTTCCTCATGTACCACTGGTACTCACCCGCACCTACCCCCTGCACTGCAAGGGTTAAGTGGTCGTTTTGTCTAGGGGGCTCAAATAAAACAGATTTACCTACCTGATCTTTGGTCAGGCCTCCCCCCTCCAGGTTGCTAGACCGGTCCCCGCAACCTCTTCTCCCCTGGGCTCTAGCGGTCTAAGATCCACCGGCGTCTGCACATCTTTTTCAGGTCCACTTACCTGCATTAGACGGGAGATGCCATAGCCGGAGTGGAGAGGTGAGCGCTGACCATTGTGGGACTGAGGATCAGGTGAGTAATATAGTTTTATATGAGTCCCCTGGACAAAGTGAGCGCTTGACCCTTGCAGTGCGGAGGTATCCCCCCCTCCAAGGGTAAGTTTGTGGTTTTCCTGGAGTTCTTCTTAAATACTAAGTCACTGACATATGTAGGTGAGCTTTGGCAGCCTGTATATTACTTTACTCAGGCTTGTCGTCACTTTTCTCATCATTCCTGTTTTGTAGTAACTTATGCTGCAGGTTTCAACTCACATCCAAGGTTTAGCTCCATCACAGATAAAAGCTTCTTGTCTTCAGGGTTGTGACAGCTGTATGTTCCAGCCTGGTTCCTCTGCACTTCCTTTAGAGTTAGCTGTTGTCCATTTGCATGCACCTTAGAATGTTGGGGTATCCAGACCCCATTATGCTTCCAGTTAACACCCAGCGACACGGAGTTGCATTGCAAGATGACATCTGTTCCCAGCTGCTCATACTGCTGTGTGATGAGAATACTCACTGAGAGAAGGAGAGATAGATACCTTAGCATCTTGAATGTCTTCAACAAGAATCTGCAATAAATGACTTTATCATTGCTAAGCATGGATATTTGGATTTATTTATTTACTGGTTACTTATATACTGCACAAACATCCATTGCAGTGTTTCTAAAATATTTCCTCAAGTACCAATATTGCGCTGAAGGCAACTGAAGAGAGTAGGTGGACCTCAAAAAATAAGGAACCACCAGAAATGTTAACTGTGCCAAGTGGTGTCACAAGGGGGGTGCGGCTCACACCCAGGTGACACCATTGGAGGGGTGACACCAAAATGACTGACAGTCATTTTAGTGTCAACCCCTCTAAAAAGCCGGGCACTCGGTCATGGACCGAGAGCCCGACAGTGTCAGGAGAGAGGAGGGGACCCGGCGGCATACCTCATCCCGCCGGGTGAACTTCCCCCCCTCTCTCTGCCGGCATTCATAACAAAGATGGACGCCGGCAGGTGTCAATTAGATGGCCGCGCATGCGTAGTGATGTCAGGTGCATGCGTGGTGATGTCACGCGCGGGGGATGTCACCTGGCCTCTGCTCCGGGTGACACCCGGCCTCAGGACGCCCCTGACTGTGCTTAAGCAGAACCCTAAAAAAAGATGTGAATGGGGGACTCTTGGGTGAAACAGAGGGACTCTGATGTGAAAAGAGGGGGCTCTGATGTGAAAGGAGGGTTCTGATGTAAAGGAGAAGGGTTGATGTGATTTGGGCTGATAATGTGAAAGGTTAGAACTCTGATGTGAAGAGGGAAACCTCATTTTTCTATGTTTTTGCATGGGGTCCCCCCTTAAAATCGATACCAGACCCCATCTCAGATAAGTGTTGAATGCTGAAGACTTTGCCAGAGGCTACAGCACTGAAAAGGAGGAACGGTAAGAGATGTGGGCATTGGGGCTTTTTCTTTGCAGGGACTTGTCATTACCAATACCTTACAGACCTGGCAGGGTTGATTTAGTGTCATGACATTGGAGGCCCAAGTTAATGCACTTTACATTACAAATGAAAGATAATCAGCCTTGCCAATACCAGAAGTAAATCATTTCTATATCACTAGAGTAGTTTTAATATTTTCCTTCTTCACCTGTGTCTTCCAAGAAATCAGAAGGGGAAGCCATAAGCAGCATGACGCCAAGTCCAAGCACCAAGATCATCGTCCTGTTACAATACACAATACAGATACTCAGATTCTCTATAGAAGACAACTCCAGCACTCAGAATGACAACAGCAAAACAGAAATAGTAGGATCCTTAGTACAGCACAACATGGGTACTGGAAGTCACTACAAAAAAAAACACAATGCAGACATTATAGTGAATCTTTGGACAATGTATTTTTACATTTTGATGGATTAGAGAAGGGTTGTCAAATTCACCCTCTTTGTTTGTAGTGGTGACCATTGTCCATTGGCAGCATTTTTGGGAAATGCAAAATGTTACAGTTGTTGCTGGAACAGGAGATGACAGGAAATCATCCAATGGTGCTCTGGTGACTGACGAGAGATTTCCTGACACTTCTTGTATCTTTAGGACAGGAAGTGAAGAGATATCTACCCAATGGAACATAGTAGCAAAAATAAATATACCCTAAGTGGGGATTTCACCATTCCCTACATTATCCTCAACTAATTAAAATAAACTTTTGGCTTTACAAATACTTTAAAGAAAACCACTTATAGTCTCTACTAAAACCAATTTACAGTATACTTCAAACAATCTACACCAAGCAACACAGATAATTCAAAACAAATATTAATTAGGATGCTACAGAAATTATCCACCAAGTAGACCAATGCTTAATTTGGTCATGAATGTTCCGGCATTGCTTCTGATTATTGGGTTGTTTTTACTCCCAAGAACCTGCCCACACACTGTAAGATGGGGAAGGGCTTTTGGAAAATGTACAGTAGTTATGGGGGGGGAGAGGGGTGCCTACGTCAAGAATTTTATAATCTTGGTGATGATGTCACAAGGAGTAATAAAAACTGTTTCTCGCTACATGAATAAAGAAAATATTAGCACTGGGACATGTTCTGGAGGAAAGGGGGGGGGCATATTTGGCCGTACCTATATAAATCATTTAAAGGGATATAATAACAAAAATTCAGAATCCCAATGTATCCAAATGTGACCAAGTCCAAATTTCCGTTTCCAAATTTCAAATCCCATCTGAATTTTGTTCAAAAACTAAACTGAATTGGACATGTGACTTTTCTGGCCAATCAGATGTGTTTTTTGGTTTAATGCATCCGAATGGGTCTGATCACACATTTTTATTACGACAACATGGGAGCCATATACAGTATATACATATAATACTAAAGCTGAGGCTCCTAGACCCGAATGGCAGTCAGGATCTGAATTTCCGAATTGCATGCGGGAACTCCCGAATGCAATTTGGACATTCGAATTCCAAGTGCCATTCGGGTCTAGGAGATTCAGTTTTAGTATTAATATCTGTATGTGGGTTTCTGTGGTATTCGCAATGAATATTCGTAAACTCATGTGAAACTAACGAAAATTCGAATTTCTTCCGAATCTGAAACCCGAACAGAATTGAATTTCGGATCCAAATCCCGAAATAACAAAATAACCGAACCTAATTTTTCCACAGCTTACGTGTCTACAGTCGGTCTAAAAACAACTGCTGGTGCTTGGTGAGCTATTTACCATCAATGGCCAACCATGCTCAGGCACAACCCAAGAAAAGATGACACAGATTTTTTGGCTCACTAAAAACAAAACAACATCAACGAGAAAAACACAGATGCTGAAGCATAAAAAGTAACAGACAAGACAGCTACTCCAATACAAAAGACAAAGATACTAATTTTTGGCCACATACATGGAAATTTTCAGGCAACTTTAACCATTTTCAAGCAGTTTTTGCAAAAAGGACCAAGTGGACCAATACAACCTGTAACTAACAGTTTTGGCTGACAAGTGGTGATGGTAGGTTCCCTTGTTTCTTTAGGTTGCTTTGATGCTGCAAGCTAGATGATGGTAGTTGGTACTGCATGAAAATGTCCATGAGTGTGGCCAGCAGAAATAACTACAATATACTAAACAACACTCATACAATGATCACCATGGCCAACAACAAATAATTATATTATACAGATTCATCCTACCTGACTGGTGCACTACAGAAATATGGCTTTTGCTCTTCTGCAAGGTCTTTCAAGAAGCTCCGTTGCTATCACCGAAACTTGTTAGAAAGATCTAAGCTTGTGTTTACATCTTAAATAGTTCCCCACGTAGAAGATCTAAGCTTTCAGTTCCCATTCTGGTAAGAAAACTAAAGGGAATTACTCGAAAAAACAGAATGAGGAACAAGCTGTGCGGAGTCTTAGAGTCTCAGGCTCCTTACATCATAGACATCATAATTGCAGCATATGGGAACTTGTACTGGAAAGCCCGTGGTGTTTTTCCTACACTAACCCCACAGTTGAGCTTTTCCCAGAACAAAGATTCTGAAACGGATATGATAAACCGCTTTATGGCAGCTTAAGATTGCCTGTAATAGACATTACATGACCCTTATAGCCCACTGAATGCAGTGGAGATCATAGCCTGATTTAAGCATTTTTGGTGTTCATGTGTGATAATATTCCATGTTAGTAACTGGCACAACCAGGATTTAAGAGTCTGGTGCACAATATTATTGGCTAATCTGTGCACACAATGGACCCTTTCTGTGTGGCAGTAACCCTGGTAGACCCATCTACTGTCTGGAGTTGTCTGATTGGATATTGTCTCCATGGATGAGTTGTGTTCAAAAAAAGCCAAATGGCTCACCTATGCCCCTTACAAAACACTTATTTAATTCTGGCTTCACCGCACATTGATTTGGTCAAATACACCTGAGACCAAATGGAATTTAGTTAAAGCTGAACTCCAGGATAAGCAAATATTGTATCTTAGTACAAGGCCGTGTTTATTCTTACTTGAATCTTGGTGTGCTTTGTGTATTTCTTCCAGATCTGTGCAACAATCCAGTGTGAGACTTTTCCTCCATGCAAGGGTTCAGCGTAATAAAACCTGTGGCTATTGAGGAATATATTTAAAGCTTTTGTGCCCGGAGTTCAGCTTTAACAAATAAAAAGGGATTTTTCTCAGGACAACTAACTTGCATGAGTTTTGTATTCACCAGGCATATTGGCCATAGCAACCAGTTGGCTTTCAGTTATTCGAAAACGAATTAAGGATTCTGGTTGCTATAAACAACAAAGCATTATTTATATGTGAGGCCTACCCTTTTAGTTGTAGATATTTTGAGCCCATGGCTATAGAGTGATGTATATACACTGTATGCCTAAAGGGTTTCAGACACTTCACCATCACACCTACCTAAAGGGTATATGGACATTCCTCCAAAAGTTTAAGTTCAGGTGTTTCCAGTGAAGGGTATTGTTAAAGCAAATACATTTTAAACAGTTGTGCGCTTCCAACCTTGTGGCATTAGTTTTAGAAAGGACATTTTCTGTTCCAGCATGACTGTGCCCCTGTACACAAAGCCAGCTCCATAAAGACATGGTTTAATGAGTTTTGGAGGATCTCGAGTGGCCTTCACAAAGCCCTGACCTCAACCCTACTGAATACCTTTAGGATGAATTGAAACACTGATTGCAGGCAATCTCTTTTCATCCAACATCAGTACCTGACCTCACAAATGCTGTTTTGCCTGGATGAGCACACATTCTCACAGACACACACACACACACAAAACAATCTTTTGAAAAGCCTTCCCAGAAGAGTGGAGGTTGTTATAGCTGCAAAGAGAAACAGCTCCATAATAATACATAAGTTTTGGAATGGGTTCTCCAACTAACTCATTTAGGTGTGATGGTCAGAAGTCCACGAACGTATGCCCATACATTATACGTATGTCCTCTGCAAGCATGTGCAGTGTGCTTAAAGGAGCAAAACATCATGCATCGGGCAGTAAGTCCTGGTTGCTGTGGGTTAATTTGCTTTGTGTTGTTTGCCTTAGTAAATAAAAAGTGAAACTGCATTTGTCTCATTTTTGAAGTGCGATGTATGACTATTGCCTTTTGTTCCTGAAATAGAGCTTGGATGAGTATGCTGAACTCCTGCCTATATTATTATAGCTTTTGTATTTCACGGGTGGGTGGATGAGAGGCATGAGAAAGGTCTAAGCAAGACACAACTGAGGCTCAGTGGTTCTTAAAATATGATCCAAGAGGTAAGCATATAATGTCTAAAAAATAAAATCTAAATAGTAACATTACCAGCCTTGCAGGGGTTGGATTTTGCCACATTTTGGTGGTCCTCAGACTCTTGAAGGATCTTGAAGTGAAAAACCATGATTCAGTTTGAACCTTATGAACAGAGTGATCTCCTTTAGATGTGGCTCATGGAGTCTGTTCTTGTGCTTTGGGAGGAAGCAGTGTTGGAGGGTGCTACCCTGCTACCATCAGAGTTCAGGGATTTGCCTCTGACTCACGTTCCATTCAATCTCCCTGCGGGGGATTGCATTTGCCCTTGGATATCGATCTTCCAATGAACTTTCTACATGTCCTATACAGGGATGGATTGGGGTCTGGAATTGGAGTTACAGGCATCGATTCTTGTTGAGAGGTCTGCAAAGAGCTTAGGGTCTTCTACATATTTGTAACCTTGCTCCACAGAGCAAAGGGTCTGCTGTTTAGTGAGTGGGATCCTAGACTGGCCTTCACAAAAAGCTGCTGTTTTTTAGGCTTTCTCTCTCTGCAACTGTCCATTGCACCCCACCACTGAGACACAGTTAGATAGCAGCAATCAGCGTAAACCCCTTTCTACCCACAAAAGGGTTGCTCATAAGGTCCCCCAGCAAATTGCCCTGACCTCCAATGCCTTTTGTTAATAATAGTTTGCTTATTAGCCGCACAAAAGTGACAATTACATATCAAGATTCACCCCCATAGACTTCAATGGAGTCCAGGGAATAGTTCAGATGGGTCTATGATGAGTCGGATGTAAGCAGATCAGATTACCCCAAATCCCTCATGATCAGGTCCGCCAAAATGGAACTGTGTTCCATTGTATTTTCAGGACCTGGACAGCATCTGGGGGTAACTGAATGTAAACGGATGCATGGCCATAGACTAATATTGGTATTCTGATCAGATCTGCCTGAAAATCTGACATGTGGACCTGATCTGACAGCCTGTCTGAAAGAGGCCTAAGGCCGGACAGATTTGCTCATCCCTACTAGGCTTCAATTACTTCTGGTCACAAAAGGTGTTAAATAGACATGTGCACTAGCAAACAAAATTGTTTCGTTTTGATTCGGATTTTGCGTTATTTCGTTTTTCGGAATTCAGGTCCGAAAGTCAATTCGTTTCGGAATTCGGATTCAGACGGAATTCGTTAGCGCTAGTCTGTACGAACTTTTGTTTCAATCTCGTTTCGTTGTCGTTTCGTTCGTTCGTTGCAGCAAAGTGACATTTAAGAGGGAAAAAAGTTTATTTTTTCCTTGCCGCAATGAAATTATATCCAACAAACAAAATTTCGTACAGGCCACCGCTAACGAATTTCGGAATTGTTTGCATTCGTTATATCTGCAATTCGGAATTCGGATACATCTGAATCTCAGAATTTCCGAAATTTCGTCCGAATTTCAATTCGAAACGAAACGAATCGCACATGTCTAGTGTTAAACAAGTCAGCATCAGCAGCTACCATAGTTCTAATGAAAAGCAGAAACAAGGTGCTGGACTTGGATACCTTAGCAATAAGAAACTAGATTTAGTTGAGCCTACTGGCTTGGATTCAGTAGCTCTCCACAAAACCGGCCACCCCAAGAGATGGGGGCCCTTTTCCGCCAATGACAGACATTCACTATTTTATAACTACTAAACTCAAGATAACATCATCAATTTTCAGAAGCCAAAAGCTAACATAACACATCAGACGCATATAGGAAATTCACAGCTTTACTAAAGGGAAGATGTTACTTCTTCAAGTTTGGTAAAGCAAGTTTGGTATTTTTAAAAGTTTAATATAAGTTCATTGTATTTACAATGAGTTGATCATTTGCATATTATACTTTTTTATATAAAATGAAACCTGTACTGAGATAATATGGAGGCTACCATTACTAAAAACACCATGTAGAATTTCTAGTTGCCAGGCTGTCGTGCTAACCAGTGATATTAATGTTGAACTTCAGGCCAATATAATAGAAAACACAATTTTTCGTAGTTATGTGTTCATTAAAATAAAAGATGTGTTTTTAAATGCAACGTTTGTAAGTATCTAATTTGACTTAGTAACTGCCCCTTGTAATCCTTGTACAAAAGAACTAAGGCTCCATTCACATATAGTGTTTGCGTATCCCGCACGGTTTTCCGGGCGAACGCAAACGCTTGTTTGTGGCTACATAGTCGCAAACCTGCAGAATCCACCGTATTGACACGCTTGCACTATTTTGGGGGCCACACGGTTGCGTACCACGTGGTCCTCACAATAGTCTGAACACTGCCAGGGCAGCCATCAGGGGGGGTACGGCCGATACTCATGTAAGGGGCCCGGGCAGCCTGGTGGGCCAGTCCGGGTCCCTTACATGACTATCGGCCGACGGTGAAGGGCGAGGAGGAGGAGGCCTAGCCCTAGCAGCGCGGGGCCCCAGCATTGCCGCTTCAGCGGCTTTGAGACAAGCTGGGGCCCCATCAGCGACGCTGCTCGTCTGATGTTGGACTGGCCGGAAGTGACGTCATGTTAGTGACGTGACGTCACTTCTGGCCAGTCCGGCGGCAGATGAGGCCATGTGTGCAGGTAAGAGGAGCTAGGAAGGAAGGAAGGAAAGGAGGGAGAGGAGGGATGCAGCCCTGACCAGCCCAGCTGAGACCCCTTCAGAGCCCACCATAGACAGTCGCAGATGGGCTGTGCAGCATCTATGGTGGGCTCTGCAGGGTCACTCTCAGGTGGGTCCTGTGTCCAGCGCGTCACTAAGCCCTGCGTCCAGTGCGTCACTAAGACTTGCATCCAGCGCGTCACTAAGACCTGCGTCCAGCGGCGGGTGGGGCCCAGCCTAAAGCCATGTAAGGGGCCCCAAAATTTCTGATGGCTGCCCTGAACAATGCACATTAAAGTGCATTGTTTTTTCTGGTATTGAGCAGCTCCGTGCATATTCGGCTGTAAGAAGACAGCCGCCCCAGTTTGAATGGAGCCTTAGACTGGGAGAGGGGGGTTGTAGCACTAGCATTCAATCAACTGTGCAGTAGGACATATATGTTGACAAGGAACATGCTGAAAGGAGGAAAGAGCAGAGTGATTAGTGCGCTGCTGCTGCTCCTTTACTATCCTATCACTGTTTGGGGTTTAGCAGTGACCTAGCTGCAAAAGGCAGACATCAACCTAACTGTGTTGTGTTTAGGACTGGCTAGACACCAATGCAAATTCTTTGGTAGATAAAATAGTACCTGTATATATGTGTGTGTGTGTGTGTGTGTGTGTGTGTGTGTGTGTGTGTATGTATGTATATATATATATCTATATCTATTTATATATATATATGTACATATATACACACACATCTATCTTAACTGTGAATTTGTCTGTTTCATTTGAGTCGTCTTTAATACTCTCTAAAATACTGACCTGGAACAAGCATAAGGAGCACTGACTTTCTAATCTCAATACATATAGGAGCACAGTGGCTAAATAGTGGAACCAGAAACCGCCAGCCTACAAGTCTTTTTGGAAAGAGGTGCACAAAGATAGCTCCTATGTTTCTCTCATTACAGGTTCCCTTTAAGACAATATACTCCCTTTAACACTGGTCCCACTTGGACTGTGGCACAACCCTCCCGGTTTCTCTAAGTCCCATGCTCTACGTTTCAGAGGAAATGGGTGGATAAGATCTTCATTTTGTCTTAGGCCTCCTGAATTTTCCTCACTGCGGGGTCTTCTCATGGGCAGTCTGGCTCTTTTGCACAGATCAGCTGATGCAGGGTGCCTTGGCAAGCCTGTATTTAATGGAGCTGCCCAGCGCGAGAACCTGTAGCTGTTAGACTTGACGATCGTTGCTTTTATGCGAGTAAGGGCAGATTCGGAAAATGTGCTGTAGGTCCGAGGTAGAAGTTGCTTATCCAATTTGGAGGTGGGAGCTTCCTTATGCAGCTGCTGGGTAGACTTTTGTGATAGTTGCCAAAGTTTAAGTCTCTGCTCCAAGATGCTCACTTCTCTTAGGACCTGGGTGACTTTGTCCATTCTGTCCAGGAGTTCGGAGATTGCTCTGGGAAGATGTTCAACTGCTAGAGCAGGTGAAAGAACAGGGCGAGGACTGCATGGAGGAAACAGCTCTTGTTCTTCAGCAGAAGGTGGTCGATGGACCAGTTCAGTCTCAGGTGGCATATGGGAGGATGTTGGGGATGATCTGGTCGAAGAAGGTCCCAGGCCTTCAAATCTCACACTATGGCGATACTAAATGGGTTTAAAATATATATATATATACACAATTAAAATAGGAACTGTAATGACTATATACTGAGCTAACAGGATATATTTTGGTATAAGCATGCTTTGTTGCAAAAATTGAACTTTTGATGCCCTGCCCCTATCGGCCTCACCGAGCTGTGTGGAGGAGGGAGGGAGGACGGAGAAGGGAGGAGACAGGGAGGAGCTCATCACCGGTGAGGCATCGAGATCGATGTTCTCACTTTTTTTTTCTTCTTTTTTTTATTGGACAGCTTGGACCAATGGCGCTTGCCATTGGTTCAAGCCATCCACAGAGCTCAAGATTCTAACAGCAAGTAGAGCCCTCCCCTGACCGCACGTCCCTGAATTCAACAAGTGGCATATACAGGGTTGAGACAAACCATTTAACAATGGCATGTGTGCTTCCAATGGTCATGTTTTTCATGAATGAAAAACCTTTATCACAAAAACACGAAAGAAAAAAGCTGTTTCTGTAACGGTATAAAAACAGCAAGACTAATGGAAGCACCTCCAATGGACAATTCCTGATCCAAGATCTGTGAGCATTCTCTAATGTTTGTAAATACCTTAATAGAGGATTACAAAATACAGAGCATGTTGGGGCTCTTATATCAGATGCAGCCTTGCACCTCATCATATGATTATTTGTTCTGTGCTTGTAAAAGCTTAAATAAAGCCATTGAACTGATGTACAAAGGATCCCAGTGGTGCAGCTAAGCCTAGTGGCCAGGAAATGTTTCCCAGGTCTCAGTAAAAGTGCCCTGGGTTATGATCCTCGCCACCAAACCTTCTTTGTGGTACAGTGGTTTAAACAATACTATCGTAAGAAGCCATTGTAAAGCCATTGTTAGGTCTAGAGTTGCCTTTTATGTGTTATGTCACTATGTTAGCTATATGTTGAAGCAGTCTATGCAAGTAATATTCTTATATGAACAATATAACACATTTAGATTATGCGTACGTGTCAGCAGTATGAGCATTTCCTCTTTCCATACTGTGTACGTGACTGACTGTGTATATAAACTGCGCCTTTTCTATAATAAACTCGAATATGATTAGACGTACAAACTGTGTCTGTCTATGATTGCTTCCCGGAGCTCTGTATAAGGATTTCTCTGGTGTGTCCGGTTCGGAGTGGTCTTCAAATTAACCCCTTACAGTCATGAGATCAACATCTCTGTACCTTGGAAAAAAAAGGAATGAGGGAATGCCCTAGAGACTACCATATTCTAGTGTCTTCTACTGGTAAACATTCAGCTTGAGCATACCTTCACTCTGAATGTAGTAGGTATGTATTACCTATTTAGTGCATATGTATTTAAGGAGATGAGAAGCTTTCAGATCATTGCCGGGTTTATAAAAACAATCTTTGGTCTCCCTTGACACTATATTGTACTCACTATTTTGCAACTTTGCAAAGACTGAGAGGAAAGCATTCTGAGGCTTCCTCGTGGCTTTTCATCATATGATGTGTCATGTAAACGAATGAATCTGCAAACTAAGGCTGAAAATGCTTCCTCTCTAACCTTAGCTGCTTGCCAGTAGAAGAAGTCTTAGTAACAGCTCTTCAAGTCATTTTTTGACCAACTGAGTAATTTCTCACCTGTTTTACTTTGTTGACTCCCAGCCACAGTTTAAACCTTTTCACAAAGAAGTCAATCATCTCGTAATCTTGAGGTTCCAGCGCCAGGCGGTAACATTCAGCTCGGGTACGGTGATAACTAGCGAGTACTGAGCCACACAGAAGCCCCCTGAACACCAGTAAGACACTCAGCCCCAACCATCCAAGGCAAGGGACACCTTTTAACATGGGCCAGAAGCGCCGACCGTCCCACAGCAAGTCAGAAAATTTGTTGCAGGGGATACTGAGTGCTGGAAATAATACACAGATCACCTGAAGAGAGATTATGCACTTTTAATTATTTGTATCATTATTGATGTGTGTATTATAAGGTGGATGAGGTGCCAACTACACAGGCAAAGCAATAACTGGCATTCCACCTAACTTTGAACACACAATCTCAGGATGGCTGTTACCAGAAACACAAGAGGCTTTCATTTAATATTGTTGGCTGCCACTGGCCAACCCCCAAAAGCACTTATTTATCTGCAGCAGACAAGTCACTGTGCATAATGCAATAGAGGTCTCATCTGATGTGGAATTCTGAAAGCTGGACAACAGCAACCCAGCTGCGTGGTTGCCTTGGTTGAGATAAGTTCCTTAAAGTGATCACTGTAAGATTTTAATCATCAGATTTTATAATGAGAGACAGCCAGGTTACATTCTGAGTTATATAGGGGCGAAATGGCCCAGACATCTGTTAATGAAAGCTGAACTCCAGGAAAACAACTGAATACACAAATAAATACATATACATTTTGTTTGGCAGCACTACTTGGCAAAGGATTGGTATTTCTGTCTGCCAATTTATGAGATTTACACAGTTCTACCACACAGCACAGTTCTGTCTGGCAGGACAGGAGACCTATTTTTTTTCTGTTACTGTACAGGTCTTGGCCCTCCCAGGGGTGTCCCGAGGCAGAGTGTCACCCGGAGCGGGTACCGGGGACACCCTGCCGTAACATCATTGTGCATACATGTGACATCACGCACGTGCGAGATGACGTCACGCACTGTTACCTGCGGGCGACAGAGAGAGGAGGGGACGTTCAACCAGCAGGATAAGGTATGCCACAGGGTCTCCTCCTCTCTCGTGCAACTGTTGACCGAGTGCCTGACTTTTAAGAGGGGGTGACACCAAAAGGACTGTCAGTCATTTTGGTGTCACCCCTCCAATGGTGTCACCTGGGTGCGGGTCTCACCCCCCCCCATCCCCCTTATGACGCCACTGGGCCCTCCCCCTACCTGTGACTGGACAGTGAAGGAGAAGCGGCAAACAAATGAGCTCATCTCTCTGTCACTCTGCTCTCTCCTATCAGCATGTCCCTTGTTAACACATGAGCACTGCAGCACCACTGACTGGCCACTAGTGCTGCTTCTCCATCTTCCAGTCTGAATTCCACTGTACAGGGGCTGCCAGTAGCTGATACCAGGTGAGATTCAGGTACTTACACTTGGATTTAAAAAATACATATTTGGCCTTAATGGAAAAAAAAGGGAGACTATTTCAATATTCTCTGGGTGATGTCCTTGACATAATGTAGACCTAGGATTATGGGTAATTCAGTGAGTGACTGGAAACAAGATGGATTAAGTACCCTTGGTTGTCATTATGTCGCTCTGATGAAGGGTCCATGCGAGGTGCCGAAACGCTAGCTTCCGCTTCTAATGACAGGCCGTGACATTTTCAATAAACATATGTGAGAGATATTGAATTCATCTGTGTGTGTGCCGGTGACCTGTTGAGACTATTCTGAGCTTTGCACGGCACCATCCGTGTGATCAGCAGAGCACCACCACCATTGGAAGGTTACAGACAGTAAGGCGTGCTGGTGGTCTGACCCAGGATTATGGGTAATTTCAGTGAGTGACTGGAAACAAGATGGGTTAAGTACCCTTGGCTGGAATGCTTTATAAGGCCCATTATTATTTCATCCTCCACTATAGTCATTATTATTATTATTATTATTATTATACTACAGGATTTATATATCGCCAACAGTTTGCACAGCACTTTACAATATAAGGAGGACATTACAGTTACAATTCAAATCAAGACAAAATGGATAGGAGTCATGATTGAAATCCTTCGTGTATCTTAGCTCTTAGTACAGAGAGTTTCAATAATCAGTTTTTACCTACCAGGTTCATGCAATGAGTCAGTACCACCAGAAAGGCAGCTATAAGAAGTACCAAACCAGGTAATTCCATCCGTAATGATTGAAACGTTTTTATAAACACCGCCCAGCGCCGCACAAACCGAAACTGTTGTGCAACCTTTGAAGAAAAAAACAGCAGTAAAGAGAAACAAGAAAGCCACCAAAATATAACTATATACAGTCCCAATTCACATGTCATGGTCATAGATGGTCAATATAAGAACTCTCTCACCTTCAGCATGATCAGTAATAACAGAGTGCCAGACAGGGAAACCTGTGTTCGTGATAGCAATGCTACATCATACAGGCTGATAAATGTCCAGGGTTGTGCCTGGTATTGCTCCATCCGATGCTTTGTCAGCCAAACCCTGCCAATGTGCACAAGTCCTGTGGCTGCAGATGCCAACCCAAGAAGTAGGCGCGTCCATTGAAGAGAGAAGGTTGAACCTGAAGAACAGAATCCAACCAAGGCAGCCAGTTCTGGATACAAGAAAAGCAGAGCAGCAAGCAAGAGAGAGAACTGTGGAAGACAGAAAGATATTGGTCAGTTACCTTGCGGTTAAGTCTATGCCCCCACAGTAAAAAGGGGAGAGCACAGAAACAGCAGTTGTTTGCACAGTGAAGGGCCTACTGTTGGCAAAAAATAAGGATGGACGATCTATCCCGATTGTACAGCACCTCTTTGCAGCAGTCAATACTGTGGAGCATGTCATATTACTGCAGAGGTTGAACGTATCTTGTATCTGGCATATCACTATGAGTATAGTGTAGGAAATCACTATTCTGGCCCTGTGCCACTTTCTAAGGTGTCCCATAAGGTTCAGTACCATCACCACTATTGGTGGGAGTTTACATGCTACTTCATGGTGAAATAATCTAGCACCAATGGCTTGGCTATGCAGATGATCAATGGATGTGTTTATCCTTCAAGATATGCCTGTAAGAGATTCTATCTTTCATCCTTCACTAAAAAAAAAATTCTAAAACCTGATTTATATGGACAATAGACAAGCTTTCTTTCATGCACATTTCATGCACATTTCTTTCATAAGGTGCAGTTTGTGAAAAAGTTATACTCACTGCTAGTACCATAGGCAGGTTCAGACCATGCCCTTGCTTCTCGAGGTGGAACGGGAGGATAGACAGCCTGAAAGCTCGGCTTCCATATTGTGACAGGTCCAGATGAACAATGGTGGAGATATATAGACCAACATCTTTGTGATACTGTGTGATCTCCACTTGCAGAATGCTGGAAAATAGACATGTTGTCCAGAGGCCAGTTTTGTCACTTATTTAAGGTTAACATGTATCTATAGGCATATTAGTTTTGAGTTGGCATGGGTCAGACCCTCTGTCAAGGTTTTATTGTCTATGTAACCAATGGGGGGGATTCACCCCTCTATTTGTCACCCGGAAAGGAAATTAGGGAAATCCAACATTTTAGAGTTGTCCACAGAACAAGAGGTAAAGACAAATAGTGAAACATTTCTAAATTACACGTTGCAATACCTCCCCGCATCCTTTTTGATTTTTTATGGACCTAAGGGTGGTCAATAAAATATTGCAGCTTACCTTTTTTTAGATGCTCTTTCTGCTAGTTCCAGGACTGAAAAAACCTTGCTTAGTTCTGCCTCTCTGGGGGGGTTGGGGGGATTTTATTTCAAATAAGTAACACTGTCTGTGCTGGCAGATTTCATGATCAGTTGTGAACTAGATGAGCCACACTGCCTGTCCTAACAAAGGATTAAAGACCTGAAAACCTTGTATATTAATGAGGAGACAGTCTTTCTATTAGGATATTCAGCGTTTCCTGTTACTGAAATTGAGCTAGAAGCATGCATAGGTCTGCTAAATGGACATATATGAAAGGTAAGAATATGTTTTTTTTTTATTATTGTTAGATATGCCGTGTGAATAGAAACACATAACACACATATCATGCGGGTTGTGAAAGTGCAAATACACTTTAAGCCTCCTATCAGTCCTTTCATTTTGATGGCCAACCTTATTGACCAACAGGGGGGGCTTGGCAAATAAGACAATGCAAAGTTAAGCTTGACGATGCAAAGCTTTCAATATATGTAATTTCTTCTTGCATATTTTTTCACCTCATGCTCAGTTTGAATTGCCTAGGATTGTGACAGGTCTACCTTACAGAGACACTGCCACCTTGGCCACTTAGGGCACTTAGGGAAAAGTGACAGTGTGTGTGAAAAGGCCAATTACCTTCCCTGGACCCACTAATATTCTCCCTGCTTCTCCTTCTGCTGCCTTAGCTGGCGACGATACATATTGCTTCTCTGTATGGAGGAAGTCGCCTCTTTCCAAGGGGCAGTGCTCGGGCTTATCAGCCAATCACTAGGGCAGAAAACTGTTACATGTTGGAGGGAATTATGTAACTGGCACCCCCTAGTGTTGTGCACCACTTGACACTGGGAAAAGAGAGGCAGGGCATTGCTGGCAAGGTATGAGTGGGCCAAAGGGGCTTTAACAGACACTCACTTTTAATAGAATGGGATAGGTGGCAGTATCTCTAAGGCAACTGACATTTTAATTATTACTCTTTTATGGTATATCAGAGCCACCCTCATAATACAGTCAGGTCAGTTGTGTTAGAAACTCAGCCCCTCTGGTAAAGTCACAGAGTTATATCCATTGGTAATTGAACCTACTGACATCCACCAAAATTCAATTCCAACAAAGTTTAAACGATTTTCAAAACATTCCAAATATTCAACTCTCTTACCTGCAATAATCAATTGCAAAGTTTGACCCCAATGTAAGATTAGTGCATGGTTCTGAGCCTGAAGGGGAATCTAAAGTGTGAGTCCAACCTGAAAGGTCCAATAAAAATTAATGAGTTATATATTAATAGACTTTAAATGAGATAACATTCCAAATGGTGTAGGACTCACCTAACACACTGGAATGTAGACTATGAAGCTGGCACAAACGAGGGGCTCTCACAAGTTTCAGTCGATGGTCCCGGGACAGATGAGCCGGTAGTGTGATGTGTATCCAGCGCCATACATTAGAAGTGCTACAAACAAAGCAGATTTGCATGCATTAGAATCTGAATCTTAGCTGTGTGTAAGAGTTCCAATTTTCTTTGTTCCAGTTTTTCTAAACCAGCTCCACTATCAGCGTAGATCTCACCTTTGTACTGTATTAATTTCAAAGGAGTCAGTAATAGAGTGCTTTATGGCCGAGTGAAGGAGTCGGATGTTGTTGTCATGAAAGCTGATGTGGAAATACATCAACAGCACCAAGAGGATGAAAACCATGTAACCCGAACAATTCTGCAGGACAAAAACAAATGATTATTTTAAAAAAGTTTGATTTGTTCATTTAGTGCATTACTTGCAGATAATTAATTGCCTTTACAGTAGCATTCAGTAGCTCATGCAGCCATTCAGAATTCATCATCTTTTACTGATCTGACTTCAGAAAACTGAAATCTGACTAGCTCTTCTCACCCTACCACTGCAAAGTTCTATTCCATAATCCTGGAGTCTTCGCTTAATGAGGAACAGATAGCTCGACTCTGGTTAAGCTAAAACTGGTACATTGAGACCCAGCAAAAAACAAAAATGCACAAATTTAGGGTTAGGTTAAGTCAACTGTCACTTTAGTTGTTCAGGTCAAAGATTCATAGTCTATTTAAGGTCCACCCTCAACCCACTTACCGTATATATTCACCTTCCCACTGCTCCATCACCACTCCACAGCCAACATAATACATCCAGTGCCCATCCAATGGTGGGTGATGTGACCTCCACCGATGATGCAGTGCTCAGGCTTAGGAGCCAACTGCCAAGTTTGAACATATGACAGTCGGGTTGACATCATCAACCATGTAGAACAGGGGTAGCCAAACTTCAGCCCCAGTGGCGTCACAAGAGTGGTGCGGGGGGTGTGGCCCGCACCCGGGTGCCACCATTGGAGGGGTGACACCAAAATGACTGGCAGTCATTTTGGTGTCACCCCCTATGAAAAGTCAGGCACTTGGTCACAGACCGAGAGCCCAACAGTGTCAGGAGGGAGGAGGGGACCTGGCGGCATACCTCATCCCGCCAGTTGAACGTCCCCTCCTCTCTCTGTCGGCGTCCTTCACCAAGATGGCCGTCTGTGGCCCCGGCAGGTGTCAATAAGATGACGTCATGGCAGGGTGTCACCCGGGCTCCAGCTGGGTGACACCCGGCCTTGGGGCGCCCCTGTTCAGCCCTCCAGGTGTGGTAAAACTACAAATCTCATTTAGGCATTGAAAGACTGACGGCCACAGGCATGACTTCCAGAGTAACATGCATGTTTTGTACTTTCCCCACAACTGGAGGGCCAAAGTTTGTCTACCCCTGATGTAGAAGCTCTGACATTTTGCAGTGTATTTTGCAGTGGCTGCCTCACCAGATATAACTTATTAAAACTGGTAAATTAGGACCCCTGTAAAGCACTCTCCAGGTCCCCCAAAACTTTTTTTCTGATAAATTGTTAAAGAAAAATCATAATTTTTGCCAAGTTGTCTTCACAAAATATGAAAATAGTTAAATGATTACATTGCTATTTAAATTAAAAGTAATAAGACGAGTTAAACATTTAACCATTTGTATAATTTTTTGCTGTCTCCTTGGAACCGTCCTTACCATCCACATCTGTTTCCACATGACTTCCTCTGTATTTTTTATTATTTTATATTTTTATAGAGCTTTTCTACCTGGTGACTCAACGCACTGATGTTGGTGCAGATAGGAGGCGAGGTAGCCATCTTGGGCACATTCAGCAGAATATCTTTCTAGGGCCAACTTGAGGCAGGAGCCAATTGGGCTTCCCTCCTGTCTTACAGGTGACAGGATGCCAATAATAACTGTAAATTGTAATAATTGTCTCCTTACCTGAATCATGGACCTCAGTGCACGTACTCTCCTTGCTTCCTCTTTTGCCTGCAATAGGCTGAAGCCCCCTGGTGCTCGGACTTTATCCGCATGATCCGTTATCTTCCTAATAAGTGGCTCCTCCACCAAACCCATGCCTTCGTTCAGAACTGGGGGGCAGTACAGAGCATTGTACAATGAAAGCAACACCACCTGCAAGAGCCAAATGTGTCTAAATGTGTCTGTGACGGCACATATTACGACAGAAATGGAGAACCCAACCCTGGTCCCATAACTGTCCACTTACCTTGAGGGGCTCCAGCAGGAGAACAGATGAAAGCAGTGCACAGGTAGATGATATGAGCCATAGGAAGAAGCCATGTTCAGAAAGAGATGACGTATAGAGAACAGTGACGGCAACACAGCCAGCTAATAGAATGAATGCCAATATGTAAACTACCCACAGCATCCAGGGAGGGAACAGCCATCCAAGAGGCTTCCATGGAACCCCTGTGGGTACAACAGAATGTAAACCATTGGTGCACAAATATACTACTTACAATTAAAGTGTATGTAAACCCAAAACTTCTCATTTGCTACATTTTGGTGTTTTAAATCAGAGCATTATGTTATTTCTATTGGCAAAGCACAAAAATACTTGATGATCCTGCCAGAAATCCACTGCTGTCCTGTGAAATCTGCATCTTATATCAAGCAGTGTTATCAAGCCTTTCCAGTCTGGTTCTGTGGACTGCAAAACACCACTCCCTTGTGGTATGAAGATGAGAGAGGTGGTGGTGTTCTACAGTCCTAACACATTTTATATTCTAGTGCAGGGGAAGTCAACTGGAAACCACAACTGCCATCATGCCTCTCTGGCTTTGAGGGTCATGCCTGTGGCTGTCAGAGTCTTGCAATGCCTCATGGGACTTGTAGTTATACAACAGATGGAGTACCAAGGTTGACTACCCCTGCTCTAGTGTAAAATAGGGATATCAAAACTCAAAGTTCTATGACACAAGAAAGCATTAGCAATTAAAAATTGCCCGGGCATTTCATATATTTTATGCATGCTATTTAGTTGCCCTTGGACAGCTGCTGGGTGCTGTAGTTCCACAACAGCTGGCTGTCCACCCCTGACCTAGGATGATGACGCTGCTACTCCATGGACATTAAAGTATTTGCCTAGTCTTAACATACAGTTAAAGATCTTTAAGGCCTCGTTCACACCAGACAGTGGCCGGAAAGAAATGGATCGCATTGCGGCCAGCTCACTATGTTGTGGGGCAGGAGTGAATGGCACCGTAGCCACGCCCTCCGGCCGCAATGCGATCGGCCGTACGGGAACCCAAGGCACATCAATGCCTGTGGTCCGGTCCGAACAAAATGCTGCAAGCCCCCTCCTGCCCCACAACATACTGAGCCGGCCACAATGCGATGCAGTGCGTTCCGGCCAGAATCGAGCCCGAATGCACTGTGTCTGGTGTGAGCGAGGCCTAAATCAAGCATTCACTCACTTTTCAAGCTGCTTGTAATGGGAAGTTATTTATTTTTAAAGATCTTAAAACATCACAACAAAAACCTTGAAATCACGTTTCAGCTTAGAAACATCGCCTGTGTGTTTACATTAGAGGGCTGCCAAGATTCCCTTTCTTAAAAAAAAACACTGCCTGTGTTGTAAAATCTGAAGATTAATTTCCCCACAATGCTTATAGCTACAGAGATGAATGAGGGTTTGTTTTAAAGTGCTTTTACTGACTGCTTGTTAAGAATATGTAAATACTTTAGTGTGCATGACCTGACCACAGGTTCACTTTAATGTCTGGTAAGTCACACTATATTACATTAGTTAAGCTGATCTGTCTAATTTTTACCAATACGAGTCGTGAAAGGGGAAGGAGAGGCTGATGGGATATCCCAGCATTCCTGAAGCTCGGACTCATTACTGGTGGCCTCGGAGACAGAAGAAGAAGAGAATGATCTTCTCTTAGTATCACACCATTGGTGGCTCTCACTCCAGCATTGAGTCATATAGCGGTCCTCATTCTCCGTCATGAGGCTGTAACCACTTTCGGTGCTGGAAACAGAAGTGACATAATTAGTCATGATGTTAAAAATATTCGTGTTTCATATACTGTATGTAGGAGTAAGTGTCGAGATAAATGTCAATGCTAAAAATGGGGAGCTGTGGCAGCATTACCTGGGCGACCCAAGAGCTGGCCGGGGTGAAAACCTGCCACTGTCTGACTCTTCGCTGCATTTCCACACTTGAACGTTTGCAGCAATGGACTGAAGTAAGTTTCCCTCTGTGAGAAAACCCAGTTTGACAGTAAGATGAAAAATCTATATCAACTCGCATTACATAGTTACATAGTATTTGGGGTTGAATAAAGATACAGGTCCATCAAGTTCAACCTATTGTGTGTCTGTGTGTGTGTGTAGTGCGGGCACATGTGTATATGAGTCCCTGTGTGGTCTTAATTTTTAAGAGTACCTGTGCCCCTGTATGCATTAGTGTTCTGAAAGCTAAGCCTTCCCACATATATACTGTACACCATCTCAGGGAACCCCTATTAATAATATTATATCTACAGTTTATGGATCATTTGTGTAAACAGTAAGAATAAAGAATGCACTTGTACCCAGGGTTGCTTCATACAGGGCCAGAAACGTAATGCAGACCATAAACATTGTAGAGCTCTTACATTGGTGGTCATTGGAAAAGTGCCCCCTTACATTGGTGAATAGTGCAGTGATCCCTTTCACTGGGAGTGAATGTAATGCTCTCTTACTTTGGTGGTCGGTGGGAGAAGGGCCTCCTGACATTGATGGTCACTAGTAAAAGGCCCCAATTACACATTACACTGGTGGTCAGTTGGAAGAATGCTCAAAATTTGTGGTCACTGGGAAGAATGTATCTTACATTGATGGTTAATGGAAGGAATGTCCCCCCTTACAGATAGCTGAATACAACATCACTGGAGTTAGTGGTAACTTATCTGAGAGGCAGAAATTGCTCAAGGAACCCCTAGCAATCTCTGAAGGAACCCTGGTTGAGAAAAGCTGCTCTAATGCATTCTTTATTTTAAGACTTTATAGCCATGACTCAAAGGTTCACACCCGTTAACAGCAAGGCGACAGCGTTTCAGTGTAGATTATGCACGTTTTTTTTACCTCGCGTTTTCGCGTGTATGCTAAATCACATGTTTTTGTAAACAGATCAGTGACATATTTATTTAAATGAGAAACATGCAGTAAAAACGTGCAAAATAATTGTGTTGTGCGTTTTCTACTGAGCCTATGAGGACAAATCTGCCCAGAAAAAAGCTCATTCACTTTTCCGGCTACAGGCATTTTTTTTTCTTTACACGCGACTCTACACTTAGGTATGAATGGGCGCTATAGGAATACATGGTATTTTTTTGTGCTGTGTGTTTCAGCGTGACAAAATGCCATAGTGTGAACCGGGGGCCACAAGAGCGCAGTTGAAAAGTTGATCTTGGCATCTCACAAGTATGCTGCAGCATGGGTAGATCTTGAGGAGCCTCAGCCTGGGATTGTTCAGCTGTATACTCAACGGGAGCTCAAGCCCTACCCTGAGGGATATAAAGAAACCATCAAGTGTAATCAGTCCCATGATTAGTCCTAGTGTTGTCATAGGAGAAAATGGCATATTTCCAGTACTTACATGATAGAACTCTTCACTGAGCAGTTAACATGTAGAAGTACATTTACTACATTTATTATTTATATTATTATTATTATTTATTTATTTATTATTATAATAGCTCACAAATAGAAAACGTTCCTTCTCAGGAACATACAGTCTATGAGTGTGGAAGGTAGTGATGCAGAAGGATGAAGTGTTGTGATGCTCCACTGAGCGGTCTTTGTGTTCAGATGTGGGTTTTCTAAATGGGAGGTTATTGGTTACAGGTCACATACAGAGAACCGCTTAAGAGACTACATTTCCAGGAGATTATGGGCTTTCAGAAAGCACATCGGAGTTGATATGTTGGTGGACAGTCTGTAGGGCAAAGCATTACAGAGCTTGGGTAGAGCACAACAATACCTGAAAGAGTGAAGTGTGGACTGCTGCTGGACCCTTCTGATAATGACAATGGATCATCTCCTGAGCTGCAGGATGATAGGAACCCCAGCTGGTCTTTTTCTTTCTGCTTGCACAGAGGTTGCATGAAACCAAGTCCTGACTCAGTCAGGATATCATCGCGGGGATCATATAAGCTCTCACAAGAGGACATCCAGATAGGTCCAGCTCTGATGGAAGATAATAAATTCAGCCATTTGTTCAGGTGACACAGAACACTTATCTAGAAGGACAGGGTTGCCCTGTCACACTTTTGCATCTGGAGGGAGATCTGTCTGTTGAGTCCTGGATAACTGTAAAGATCTGCATTGAACCATCCACTCACTCTAGAATGGAAGTGTCCCATGCCAAAAAATGAAACTACTGTTACCTACCAATATATTAATGATTAAAAAAAAAAATATTTGTAAAAAAGTGCCCAGAATTGTAAAATATATATTTAGACCTTCCCCTTACGGCCATCCACCAGCCACTATGTTTTGCACAGAGTTGGGAAGAGCTAAAACTTCTGTCTTTGACTGTTAGAATACACATTACTGTGTTTATAGCAACAACTTCTGCACTATACAATTTCGGTCACTAGATGGCAGTGTTTATAAGTTCTGTTTTACAGTATCTATGGTATATGCTCTTTTGTATTGAATAAGGTAGATAATAAAGCTGTGTCTTCCTTCCTGTTTTCCAAGCCATGTGCAGCATGCATATCAGACTGTGTGCTTGTGTTTCTCTGTGAGGCTGTGCATGAAGTTTCAAACTCTGGAGCTTTTGTCCACTAATCTTGTCCCATTGACACCTATACAATGAATGAGGGTTCGGGTGTCCCAGAGCCAGGAAGGCACTAACAGTAATAAAAGCATTCTCAAAAGTAATAATACTTCCTTTTACTACTAAAGGTGTTTTTTTCCCATTGGAGAGATTTTTCCTCACTGCCTGTCTGGACAAGAATTAAGGGGAAATCTCCCTCATAGTAACACAGACTGCAATAGACTAATAGAAGCTCCAACCCTACCTCCCCACTCCATCCAAAATAAAAAATGAGTTCGGCTTTAAGTTACTTTACATTAATATATTGTACATAGTTTTCACGTTGTCACTGGACAATGTATATATTTAATCAATTGGAAAGGTCCACTTCAAATTACAGGACGCAGATGAACTCAATACTCAAAGTGCAAAACAGATCGATAACTGGGAATAATTTGCTCCTAGTAAACCCTGACTCAGAAAACAGATCACCACATATGCTGGCTCACCTCTCTGCAAACAAGCTGCCATCTTTCTCAAGGTCAAATGTAAATTTACTGCTGTTTATGGAAGCCTGAAAAACAATGATTATTCAGTTATTGATGCCAGTTCTTGGTGCGTCCCGTTGTTACCCCGTGTGCTTTCGTGTGTTTCATGAGTCATTCACATGAAATGTATGGTTCCAGACTTCATAGGTGATTGGTAGAAAGTATACAGCCATCGTGTTTCGAAGGATTAGGGCCTCCCTTTCTCAGTAACAATACTAGGCATTGCCAAGGAACCTATTGAGGGACTGTTTCAGAGTCTATGAGTGGAGACAAAGGGGTCTATTCACCAAGCTGCCGAGGGCAGCCGAGTGAATGACCGATCTGAAGTGAAGTGAGCCGAACACTGTTCGGCTATTCACTTTAGGCTGGTAGGCCTGATTTCAGCCGTACGTCGACTGAAATCAGCCCTACATCGACTTGCTTCGAGTGGCTTCGGGTCAGCCGAACATGCTCAGCATGTTCGGCCGACCAGAAGTGCAGAAGGAGTTCGACTCAGCCGATCCAACATCTGGATCGGCTGAGCCGAACCTCCGGCAGACTTCTCACTGCTGTTCGGGCTATTCTTAAAGATGCCGAACAGCAGTGAGTGAATAGCCGAATGCCGCTGAGCGGCATTCGGCTCGGCTGATCTGCTCGGTCCCTCAGAGGGACCGAGCAGAACAGAAAAATAGTGAATAAAGTAAAAAAAAGTAAATAGAAAA